CCTTGTTATCTCTTTGCTCAGTGACAGCATGTTTACTGCTGAGTCAGCAACATATCAGTTCCAATCCTGCTCCTCCCTCTAAAGAATATAGGGTGGCACTTAAGTGAAGTACAGGTGTACTTGTAAGAGTGCTGCATCCTTAATGAAGGTAGCTTTTGGATAAGACATTAAGTTGAAGCCCATTTGTCTTTGCAGGCAGAATAACAGAATCTTAGCACAATTTAAAGAAGGCAAGGGGAGTTATCTTTGTAATTCTTGAGGGCTACTATGCTTCCCTATAGTGTAATACTAACTACACATTAAGTTTCGGACATCCTGAGGTTGTGAAGGACAAGTTATTTTCTTCCATTAGAAATTAGTAAGTTATTTTGATATCATCCATCTAAGTTGCATTTAACAAGAATTAGGAGGAACATTGAAGTAATGAAGACGAAAAGTAAACTTGTATCTAGTAAATTATAGGTGCAAGCTCCTTTACTAAGTAGATAGATTCAGAAACAACTGGGTCAAATAATCATTGAAGACTACTTTAAAGAAGGAGCTGATACAGAGACAGAAAGGATACATTGTCATAACGTATTAATTTATTAGTGCATTAAATTGATCATGTAAACCAATGCTCATTAAAACAACATCATTATCATTGATGTATATTTTAACATGTTGTTAATTCTGAATTACTTTTTCAAATCTGAATTCTTTTGGCTAATACTATTCTTACAATAATGCTTTTCAGGCACAGTGGCCAGTTAAAAGTTATGTTTGTTGGAGGACCTAATGAACGGAAAGATTACCACATAGAAGAGGGAGAAGAGGTAAAGCATAATTATTCAGTGGTCACTGTACACACAGGAATATAAGAGATCAGAAAATATTTAAGTTCCTTCTCGTTCCACTTTATTTGAAGTGGAATTTAAGTGTGAACCTATCCCACTCCTGTATTCACCCAACACTCTCACCAGGGGTCAAAATGGCTTTTGTACTCCTGAGGGTTCTTCTTGCAATTTTCTTGAGGGCTATATTTTGATTTTCAGAAACTTTCTTTTTATTCTCTCTAACTCTTCCTTTGGCTGATCTATCACTTAGTGATGATATCTTCTGTATTTATGTTGCTATCTGGGCCATTTGGACTTAGAGAGCAGTATCAGAAGAATTCAACAGGACATAGCAGCAGGAGTAGGCAATTCAGTCCCTCGAGCCTGCTCAACCATTTAATATAATCATGGTTGATCTTATCTTGGCCTTAACTCCACTTTCCTGTCTGGTCCCCATAACCTTTTGACTATTACTAATTAAAAATCTGTCTATCTGCTCCTTAAATTTATTCATGTCTCGACATCCACTGTACTCTGAGGTTGTGAATTTCCCAGATTAACAACCCTTTACGTGAAGTAATTCCTCCCTATCTCTGTTTTAAATCTACCATCCCTTAACCTGAAACTATGATCTCTCATTCTAGATTTTCCCTTAAAGGAAAACATCTGCTCTACATCTACGTCAATCCCCTGTAGTAGCATGTTTTGTATCTCAATTAAATCTCCAGTGATTCATCTAAACTCTAGTGAGTGTAGGCCTAAACTTCTCGATTTGACATCAGGAGACAAACCTTTCATCTCTGGAATTAATCAAGTGAGCTTTCTCTAAACTGCGTCCTTCCTCAAGTAAGTGGACCGAAGTTGTACACAATACTCCAGATGTGGTCTCAACAATGCCTTGTACAGTTATAACAACACTTCCCTACTTCTATACTTCATTCCTTTAGCAATAAACACCAAAATGCTGTTTGCCCTCCTTATCAGCTGTTGTATCTGCATGGTAGCTTTCTGCAGTTCATGCACCAGGACTCTCCAATCCCTCTGCACTGAAGTATTTTGAAGTTTCTTTCCATTTAAATAGTGTGTTGCCTTTTTATTTGTCTGACCAACTAGAGGGCATAGGTTTAAGGTGAGAGGGGAAAGCTTTAAAAGGATCCTGAGGGGTAACGTTTTCATGCAGAGGGGGTGTATATATGGAATGAGCTGCCAGAGGAGATTGTGAAGGCTGGTCCAATTACAATATTTAAAAGGCATCTGGCTGGACGTATACATGAATAGGAAGGGTTCAAAGGGATATGGGCCAAATGCTGGCAAATGAGATTAGATCAGTTTAGAATATCTGGTCGGCGTGGGCAAGTTGGATCAAAGGCTCTGTTTCTGTGCTTTATAACTCTATGACATTATCATGATTAAACTCCATCTGCCAGATTTTGGCCCATTCACCTATACTATTCATACCCATTTGTAAATTTCTTCTTTTTTCATTGCAACTTATTTTCCCACCTATTTTGGTGTCATCTGCAAATTTAGTTATGGTACCTTTTATCCCTGCATCCAAGTCATTAATAGAGATTTTAAGTAGTTAGTGCCTAAGGTCTGACTGGACCCTGTGGCACCCCACCAGTTATAACTCCTTAACTGGAAAAGGACTCCTATGTCTTGAGTCTCTGTTTTCTTCTGGTTAGCCAATCCTCTGTCCAAGCTAATATATTACTTGCGTAGCCTCAATAATTATCAACAAAACTTAAAACCACAACACATGAGGAAAACTCAAATTTCCAAGACACCACAGTATTTCAAGACCATACAATAGCTATGTGTTAGCAGCAAAACTTTTCTTCAGGAACTGACACACACTTACTAAAAGGCACATAATTTGTTACCTGTGACTTCAATGAATGAATGAATTATTTTATTGTCATGTGTATTTTGCAGTGAGAAAAATGATAAAAATGATACAGTGAAAAACTTTTCAGCTGTCGCCATGATCCTGTGCCATTTTGAATAGTTTAAGAATAAGGAAAATAAAACGGAAAGATATCGCTTGAAGCAAGTCTATCAGTCCTGAGCCAACTTATCATCAACAATGCCTATGCCGCCATCTCTCGTCCACTGCCTTCCCATTGTGTACACCAGATCCAACCAAGGTTGAAGTCCCCATTCTTCAGGTGCCATCTTTTGCTGCTGGGCCGATTCTCCTTTGCCATAACCGTGCCACTGCCTGCCCACCTTGTCAATGCCGCCATGATGTCCTTCCACCACTACTTTGCCGCCAACAGTGCCGGACCCAATCAACAATGAAGTTGCTTATCCAAGGCGCTATCTTTCGCTGCTGGGCCTACCTCATCAATGTCACGTCCGCCGATGTAGCAGCCGCTGATTCCGATGCCTGGTCCCATTGCTTGCCCCAGAAAAGTAAGGGCCCACTCAAGTGCAGTCTGGGCTCACCTGCCACTGCCATAGGCCCACACTGGGCTCACTCTAGTCCAGGTTAGGCTCACTTGCCGCTGCCGTGTGTCTGTGCTGAGAGCCCTCACTGGAGCTGATGCCATCCTAGCTCAGGACAAGAGGTAAGTAAAGGAAAAGAGAAGAAAAGTAGTCAGAGCGAATGAGCCCCAGTTCAGGAGCCGTACTTGATGACGTATCAAATTTTCCTGCTTCCCAGTTAGCTGGTATTTACTTTTCTTCTTAAAGTCATCCTGGTCAGACAAATTATAGCGCGACTTTATGAGCAGGTGGGACTTGAACCCAGACTTTCTGGGCTAGAGAAAGGGACACTATCACTCTACCACAACAACCATCATCTAAGTAGTCTCTTGTCAGGTTTCCCTTGGCAACCACCACCATCCCGCCCCACCCCCAATCACCACCTTTCCAGTCACTTGCCTTCTTCATGATATTTTTCTGATTGCTCGCACCCATAATTCATTTTGGCTGTGATTTTGCCCACTGTCCCATGTATATTGAGTGCTTATCCACATATGAGTACTTCCCAGAACACTGAATGGAAACAGGCATTTAAAACTGTTTTTATCACCCTCTAAATTAGGTTTGCTGAGACTATTTGCAGCACTCAAACTCCTTGCTCAGCTAGTTATGGAGGAATGGCATGGTATCAGCTAAGTTAGCACGGGCAAATACTAAACCTGGGACATTTAATTTGTATAGCTTTGTGCTATTTTGTTTTTTCACCTTTTCTATGCACTCACTGCAAGTTGTGATATGGATGTTTACAAATATTATATATTAACCTAAAATTTTAGGTTGCTTACCTGATATTAAGCAGTTTGAAACAACTGTTTTGACATACACAAATATATTGGATCAGAGTATTTGCTAAATGTTTAAGAAAATATTGACCAACAAGATTTCAAAATCAACACAATCAGCAATATTGGTTAACAGCTGGTAAATGATTAAATAATTTCACTCCAACATTACAGGTTAACCTGTAAAATCTCTTTTTTTTTATTCACTTTTTTGTAAGTTATTTTCTGCTCAGAATTGATCCTTTTGCCCCTTGTATTGCACCATCTCTTTGGACTGTCATACATTTACTGCTCAGAGATGAATATTGCAGTACACTGCTCACACAGACATTAACTTAAACTATCTGGAAACAAATCAATAGAAATTGGATGGGGAAAATAACAAATATATCCTCTGCAGCAAATACGGTAATAACTTTAAAACTGGATGGCATGAAAATTAACATTTTTCCCGGGATGTTTTTTTAATGAAAATGTCGTTATAGCCATGTATTATAGTGTTTTTGGATATTTGAAACTATAATGCTGGTAAATAAAATAAGTTTTGAGAATTGCTGATAAAAGATATATTTTGTCAATGCTAAATGTTAGGTATCATCTAACTGGTGCATTCTCCATGCACTGTTCACTGCTGTTAATTTATCAAACTGGTAGGATTCTTGGCAGTGTGGCAAAACAGAGGGATCTTGGGGTCCACGTCCATAAATCCCTCAAAGTTGCTACCAAAGTTGATAGGGTTGTAAATAAGGCATATGTTGGCTTTTATTGGCAGGGGAATTGAGTTTAAGAGCTGTGAGGTAATGCTGCAGTTCTATAAAACCCTGGTTAGACCACACTTGGAATATTGTGTTAAGTTCTAGTCGCCTCATCATAGGAAGGCTGTGGAAGCTTTGGAGAGGAGATTTACCAGGATGCTGCCTGGACTGGAGGGTAGGTCCTATGAGGAAAGGTTGAGGAAGCTAGGGCTTTTCTCACTGGAGCAAAGAAGGATGAGCGGTACTTGGTAGAGGTGTACAAGATGATGAGAGTCACAGATAGAGTGGATAGCCAGAGACTTTTTCCCAGAGTGGAAATGACTATTACGAGGGGCATAAGTTTAAGGTGATTGGAGGAAGGTATAGGGGAGATGTCAGATGTTTTTTACAGAGAAAGTGGTGGGCGTGTGGAACACGCTGCAGGCAGGTAGTGGAGTCAGATACTTTAGAGACTTTTAAGTGACTCTTGGATAGGCACATGGATGATGGTATAATGTAGGGTAGTTTGATCTTAGTAGGATAATAGGTCAGCACAACATCGTGGGCTGTAGGGCCTGTACTGTGCTATGTTCAGGCAGGAATTTTTCATAGAATCCCTACAGTGTGGAAACAGGCCCTTCAGCCCAACAAGCCCACACTGGCCCTCAGAGAATCCCACGCAGGCCTGTCCCCCTATTCTACACATCCCTGAACACTGCAGGCAATTTTGCATGGCCAATCCACCTAACCTGCACATCTTTGGACTGTGGAAGGAAACCGGAGCACATGGAGGAAACCCACGCAGAGAACATGCAAACTCCACACAGACAGTCACCTGAGGGTGGAATTGAACCTGGGTCTCTAGCGCTGTGAGGCAGCAGTGCTAACCACTGAGCCACCATGCCACTCCAGTTGTCCAGTTAAACATTGGAAGCCTGAAGCTGCTGTTTTCATTCCCTGGTCCAAACTCCATTTCATGTTTCTAGTTGAGATAAAA